ATTTTATAGTATTCAATTTATATGTCAATTTAAAAAAGATGTAGTAGGGGCGCCTGGGTGGCTCAGTCGGTTAAGCGTCCGACTTCAGCTCAGGTCACGATCTCGCGGTCCGTGAGTTCGAGCCCCGCGTCAGGCTCTGGGCTGATGGCTCAGAGCCTGGAGCCTGCTTCGGATTCTGTGTCTCCCTCTGTCTCTGCCCCTCCCCCGTTCATGCTCTGTCTCTCTCTGTCTCAAAAATAAATAAACTTTAAAAAAAAAAATTAAAAAAAAAAGATGTAGTAAACTAAAAGAGGTAGAAGTCAGTTTGAAATTACTTAGAATGAGGTACAGAGACAGATAATATGCAAGAGAGGTTTAGAAGCCACAGAGTATATAGTATTTACACATGTACACAAGTGGAATCCCAGAAAAACAGGATAGCATAGATGAGAGAAAAATATTTGAAGATATAAAGGCTGAGAATTTTTCCAAACTAGTTAAAGACATAACTCCACAGATACAGGAAACACAAAGTATACCACACAGGCTAAATAAAAATGTGCACCTAGATACACTGCAATGAAACTACAAAAGGACTAAAGACCATCAAATCCTAAGATACCCAGAAAAAACTTAAAGATTACCCACAATCAGACTGACAGCAGACTCAAAAGCAATGTAAAGTAGAAGACCGTGTGCTTATTAGAGAAAATACATGTCACATGTATACCAAATGACCTATTTTTCAGAAGTGATTAAATTAAGGCATCTCCAGATAAAAAAGTTTTACCACCAAGAGATTCATTAAAAAGAACCTTCCTAGGGGCACCTGGGTGGCTCAGTCAGTTGGGCATCCGACTTCAGCTCAGGTCATGATCCCGCGGTTCACAAGTTCGAGCCCTGCATCAGGCTCTGTGCTGACAGCTCAGAGCCTGGAACCTGCTTCGGATTCTGTGTCTCCCTCTCTCTCTGTTCCTCCCCTACTCACACGCCTGTCTCTCTCTCTCAAAAATAAATAAAAAGATTTTTTTTAAATAAAAAAAAAAAAAACCCTTCCTAATAAAGCAGTATTTCTGAAATCATAGATTGTAATTCACAAGTCATGACATTAGTAAATTATAGCAGGCACAGAAAAGGAAAAAAACCCCAAAAAACCAGAAAAATACAGAATATAGTTCACATACGGGTAAATTCTGTCTTGTAAAACTTTTGTTTCAGTTGTAAGTGGTTGCAATATTAAACATATTTAATTATTGAGAGAGGGAGACAGCATGAGCAGGGAAGAGTCACAGTGGGGGGACAGGGAGTGAGAGAATTTTTTTTTTTAACTTTATTTTTTAAAATTTACATCCAAATTAGTTAGCATATAGTGCAACAATGATTTCAGTAGTTGATTCCTTAATGCCCCTTACCTATTTAGTTCACCCCCCCTCCACATCCCCTCCAGTAACTCTCTGTTTGTTCTCTGTATTTAGGAGTCTCTTCTGTTTTGTCCCCCTCCGTGTTTTTATACTATTTTTGTTTCCCTTCCCTTATATTCATCTGTTTTGCCTCTTCAAGTCCTCATATGAGTGAAGTCATATATTTGTCTTTCTCTGACTAATTTCGCTTAGAATACTATCTCCAGTTCCATCCACGTAGTTGCAAATGGCAAGATTTCATTCTTTTTAATTGCTGACTAATACTCCATTGTATATGTATACCACATCTTTATCCATTCATCCACCGATGGACACTTGGGCTCTTTCCATACTTTGGCTATTGTTAATAGTGCTGCTATAAACATGGGGGTGCGTGTGTCCCTTTGAAACAGCACACCTGTATCCCTTGGATAAATACCTAGTAGTGCAATTGCTGGGTCGTAGGGTAGTTCTATTTTTAGTTTTTTGAGGAACCTCCATACTGTTTTCCAGAGTGGCTGCACCAGCTTGCATTCGCACCAACAATGCAAAAAGAGATCCTCTTTCTCTGCATCCTCGCCAACATCTGTTGTGGCCTGAGTTGTTAATGTTAGCCATTCTGACAGGTGTAAGGTGGTATCTCATTGGGGTTTTGATATGCATTTCCGTGATGAGTGATGTTAAGCATTGTTTCATGTGTCGGTTGGCCATCTGGATGGATGTCTTCTTTGGAGAAGTGTCTATTCATGTCTTTTGCCCATTTCTTCACTGGATTATTTGTTTTTTGGGGGTTGAGTTTGGTAAGTTCTTTGTAGATTTTGGGTACTAACCCTTTATCTGATATGTCGTTTACAAATATCTTCTCCCATTCAGTCAGTTGCCTTTTAGTTTTGCTGATTGTTTCCTTCGCTGTGCAGAAGCTTTTTATTCTGATGACGTCCTAGTAGTTCATTTTTG